GTGATTTAAGGTAGAAAATTGGGTATTTGGGTAGAGTTAGGGCTTTTTGATTTTTCTTGATTTAGACCTCGTTTTGGGGTCGAATTTGGAAACAAATTATATATTTTGGCTCGTGGGTGAATGGGGGATTTAATTTTGGTCCGAACCTCGGGTTTTGACGAAGCGGGCACGGGGTCGATTTTTTTGAGTTTTTGGAAAAAATGATGGAAGAGCTATAATTAAGCATTGGGTTCGTATTGTTAGCATTTATTAATGTATTGAAGTCATTATTGTATAGATACAATTTATTTGGAGCCGAATTCGAGAGGAAAAGCGGTAATTGAGGATTGAATTGGCCGTGGAAGTTTGAGGTAAGTGTTTGGTCTAACCTTAGCTTGAGGGATTAGGAGTTGAGTCCTATTTGCTATGTGATAATTGTTGATTACGACGTATAGGCATGGTGACGAGTATCTATACGTTGGTGTCAAGTATGACCGTGAGTCTTATATTGTGATTTTCATGATTTCGTTGTATTCTTCACGCTTTGGTGATGATTTCTAGTTGTTGTGAAAAGTTTGTGGAAGGAATTGAGACCTTTGAACATTTTGGAGCATTGACTTGAGTTATATTATGAATTGTGAAAGTATATGAGATGATTGAACCCTTTGAAGCATTGGCTCAAGTGGTAAAGTGAGTTATGAAATACAAGTGAAAGATAGAGAAGGAGTTATTGAAATGTTCCCTTGCCGGGATTTAATTATTTACTTGTTGCTCCATTGTCGGGATTTAATTGTTAAATCGTTGTTCCCTTGCCGGGATTCCTATATGTTCTTGTTTATTTCCCTTGCCCTTGTTTGTGATTGTTGTTTGGGTGAGGAAGAGTGTTAAAGCACGAAGGGTGATGTCGTGCATTGTTTGCTATCGTGAGGAAAGAGTGTTAAAGCAGGAAGGGTGATGTCGTGCCGCACGATGTACCATTCCGTGCCAATTCTATTGATTATATGTAAGGAAAGAGAGTAAAAGCACGAAGGGTGATGCCGTGCACATTTTATTATTCTAATTGCTTTGGTGAGGAAAGAGAGTAAAAGCACGAAGGGTGATGCCGTGCACGTTTTCATTATATTATTGCTTGGTGAGGACGAGAGTAAAAGCACGAAGGGTAATGCCGTGCACTTGTCTTTGATTTTCCTGATTTTGCTGATAATTGAGTTATGTTGTCCTTTACTTCTATTTACTGATTTTCTTGTTGTTATCGGTTCAAGTGCATTAATTGTCTTATTCCACTATTACTGTGATTCTTTATATTGGCATTTTTCTTTATTGTGTTACTTGTCATTATTGGCTCGAGGTATCCTTGCGCAACATTATGCCTTGAATTTATGCTATAATTGCTACATGTTTATGTGACTTAATTGCTACTTGACATTTAGCATACTAAATATTAAATTGTCTATTTGCTCCTTAAAGTCCATAATTATTTGCTACTTATCATTACTTGTTTTCCTCAGTGAGTCATAATTATTGTGTACTTGTTGTCTTATGAATTCGTATTAATTGTTGCGTTTGTTGGAGTAAATTTCATTTGGAAGAACTGTTGACTTAATGAAATAGGAGCGGGTGATACGCCTACCACGAGATTTAATGAAATGGGAGCGGGTGGTACGCCTACCACGAGATTAATGAAATGGGAGCGGGTGGTACGCCTACCACGAGATTTAATGAAATGGAAGCGGGTGGTACGCCTACCACGAGATTTAATTATTGAGAAATGGGATCGAGTTGCACGCCTGCAACGAGATATGTACTGACACTGAAATCTGCTTTTATTTCCCTTATCCGTGTTAGAGTTAAATTATTGATGTTCTTTATTATTTTCTTGAAATTCTGTATTATCTGCTATCCTCGAAGCATGTTCCCCTCCCATTTAAAATATTTGTTCTTGTTATTTTCCCGTTATATATATATATATGTATATATATATATATATATATATATATATATATATATATATATATATATATATATATATATATATAT